GACTCTTACTAAAAACCCACCGTGCTTTCTCTTGCTCTGGGCCGAGGTCGCGTCTAAACATCGGCCCTATAAGGCCCCGTCTGTGGTGGTCTATTGCCTCTTTGAGTCGCGCGTGGAACGCTACGCGCCATAGGTTCGGGTCTAATTCGGGTGGGGCGGCGAGCTACCGCGGCCGGAGATCGTCTCTCGATACGTTATGGCGTAGCGGTCAATTTTGGGATTGGGGTTAGAAATCTGACTTGGAGTGTCGGGTAGGATATTTAAACTTAGGTTATTAGATCAGGTGAAACAGCGTGAGTAGAATTCGAGAGATGAATAGACGCAGAAGAGGGGAGATGAATACTAGAAATATTCGCCAACATTTATTCATCCCTTTTCTGTATCCCCCCCCCCCCTTAAATCTATTCGGCCCGTTTTATGGTATTAGGAGTTTGGAAATCAAAATAGTACACATTATTTGTACGTACAGTATTATAACATTCTAAATCTTTTAAAAACTGCGAGAGAAATGGAAGTAAATATTTTACAAAAATTCACAAACAGAACTAGCAATATGTGCTAAGCATTTATATGCATTGAAACAGATTTTAACGGCTATCGGTTGTATTGCAAAGTCCTGGACTATTTGCATCGCAAAGCAAAAATATTGTACGGTTGAAGTTCCACAAAAAAATCTAACAAAAATAACTTCATAAGTACGTGTGCAATATTGGTTATCGATACCGCTCTTTCATATTTTCGAGGTAGCATATAAGCAATGTTGACCCGTGAAAATTTATTGAAATAAACTTATTTTTTTGTTGATAAAATATAATAATATGTGTACTAGTTTTTACACGCTGCTTCCCCCTCTTAGTATGTCGATAAAAAGCAGCCTATGTGTTAATCCAGTTGATCTATCAAAATACCAAACATAGGTACATCCATACATTATCACAAACTTTCACATATATAGGTATAATATTAGTAGGATATCTGTATCTAGCACGGTATGCTCTAAGCGTAAGGGTAAGCGGTAGCATGATCTAGAAACCAACATTTACAATAAGAAGTATTACTGAAAAAATATATACAAAATAATGAAACAACGAAATTATTTTTATAAGTAGGCCATAAAACAGAACTTTAACACGTCAAAATTATATGTATAAGACAAAAAGAAGCCGGCATTTCCTATCTGACAACTCTGAGAAGAAATACTGAAACAAACTCAAAGGAATAAAATATGTTGTGTCTATATTTAATGTTCATATTTTTCTCTTTGCAGTACACGTGTCTTCACGAGAACCTGTTCCACTACCTATGTGAAGAGAACAATGGCGCGGTCACATTACCAGCTGCAAGAGGCGACGACGCTTGGAAGGTCTACTTCAATGAAATACCTGAAGAAATCGTCGATGAATTCGCTATGAGATACGGAATAGAAGCCATTTACCAAGCAATGACGTGAGTTTTGATTAACATTGGTATACAACATGTACCTATTTTCCCCAAAAAATTAATAATGTAACCAGGAGTTAAATTGTAAAACTGATTAAAAAGAGTAACGGTGGAGTTTTTAGCTCATTCTTCGCTATAGGAAATATACACTTTGAACCTTATCTAGACGACAGTAATATGCCAAGAAACTGAAACATTTTAACTTCTTTTATTTTATTATTCTGTTTCACGGTCGAAAGTGACGTGAAATAAATGATTTAACGTTTTTTGGATACAGTCATTTTAGAAAAAAATACATAAAGGGTTTTAAGTTGTTACAGGCACATTGATATCTATCGGTTTCATTTCTAAGAAAATTCATTGCAGGCCAAAAAAGTGTTAAAACGTTAATGCACTAAAGATCTAGTTGTCTAAATTTTCCTTTTAGCAATAGTAACGGGCAGAAAGTCCATGTATCTATCATATTTAAACGTTGTTAAAGTCCCTACCATCTTCATCTCCAGGCACTTCCACTGCCTTTCGACGAAGTACTTGTGTGCTGGAGTACCAGCAGTCATGTCTACGTTGTTGGCCAACATCAACGCTTACTATGCTCACACCACCGCGTCATCTGCAGTATCAGCGTCGGACAGATTTGCAGCTTCCAACTTTGGAGTAAGTACAATCTATATTAATATAATAAAGAGGTAAAACTTGTAAGTTTGTATGTAGGTCGAGCCGAGCAGCGGGTGAAACCGCGCGAGAGTAGCAAGTTAATTATATAACTCATACAGTAATTCTAATTTTGTAGACAACATTATATTATTAAATGTTTAAAAAGCTTTCTTAAAACTTACAATAACAATGAATATTTTTATTTAACTTTAAAATTAGTTACTCAATGACGCCCACATTTGTCAACATTTTAGTGTCGAATATGTTATTAATAACATGCCTTTTAATAAGCACGATTTCAGGAAAGAGCAAAATAGGGTTTAACAGCAAAATTACAGAAATTGATTAACACACAAATACTTAAAACTTAATTTTTAAAACTAATGATATTCTATATTTTAACAGAAAGAAAAGTTCGTGAAATTGTTGGATCAACTGCACAACTCATTGAGGATCGACCTGTCGATGTATAGGAACAACTTCCCAGCATCCAGTGCAGAGAAGCTCATGGACCTTAAATCTACGGTCGATTTGCTGACCAGCATCACGTTCTTTAGAATGAAGGTATGTCATATTAGTTCACAACAATACTAGGACTTGGGCGGAACTGCCCATCACTTAATAAAATCAAATAATAAGAAGTAGCTAGCTAGATGATTGCCGCTACTGAAGAAGCAGCTTCAGCTGACTTCCAAACATGAATATTTTTATTCAAGGTCGAACAAACGCATTACAGAACAGAACAGAAACATTGAGAATAATATTTTGTTGTTGTAGTTGTATTTAAAATACGAGCACCAATTATTTTTGCTTTATTTATTAAATAATTTGATAATGTGTTTTGTCTTACAGGTTCAAGAGCTAAGTAGTCCGCCCCGCGCCAGCACTGTGGTCAAAGACTGCGTGAAGGCATGCCTTAGATCAACATATCAGTTTCTATTTGAGAATTGTTACGAACTGTACAACAGGGAGTTCCAGGTAAAGTATTTTTAATTTTATTAATCATACATTACTAACAACCAAACCAAAGAAGTTACTCGAAATTTAAAATCCGACCGAGCATCTGAGGTTCAATCCCCAAGAAGTATTTGGGAAGAACAAGAAAAAAGACAATTGTCATGAACATATTAATATTGATCATCGTGTGTAACAAAATAAAAACATACTTAATGCATTTCAGTATCTGATTCATGAATCAAATTTGATTAAAAAAAAACAATACTAAAAGATTTCCCTATTTAGAAGTTGTTCAAAGGCACATTCCTAAAAAAAATATTTTGCAGGTGGATCCAAATGAAGCGAAGCGTGATCCTGCAGACCACGGTCCGCAACTGGAGTCTGTGGATTTCTGGCACAAACTGATTGCTCTTATCGTATCTGTGATAGAGGAAGATAGGAATAGCTATGCTCCAGTTCTTAACCAGTTCCCTCAAGAATTGAATATTGGTCAGGTAAGAATGTTAATACTTCTAATATATTTATAAACGATGTGGTGGTTACAGTATCTGCTTTTCAATAAGGCGGTAAATTTTAGGTATATGTGTATATTATTAAGATGCCTTTACTATGAATGAAAAATTTAAATCCAAATGTAAAGAATAGGCAAGGCAATATATAGAATGATTTTATACTAGTTCGTTAACACTTTGAACTTTATAGCTATCAGCGGCAACGATGTGGTCATTATTCGCTGTGGACATGAAGTATGCCTTGGAAGAGCATGAACAACATCGGTTATGCAAGTCTTCGGCTTACATGAACTTGCACTTCAAGGTAAGGCTGCTAAAAGATGTGTTCTTGAATGTGTTAGTGATTTCTTTAAATATTAAGCTAATTTTGCTATAACTATCAATCGTTTGATGAAACATTTAGGAAATAAAAACGGTTTTTAATAAATAAATTGTTGGTATTTATTTTTTAAATTAAATATCGTAACGTGTTTACCTTAATGAAGGTTGGTAATATTTATGTAAGATAGATGAATCAGCGCTTTTAAAAGCCCATTTGTACATAAATTGTACACAAATGTCTACTATGTGAATACTTCATCAACAGGTAAAATGGCTTCACACAAACTACGTAAAAGACGTGCCGCCATATTGCGGAGCTGTGCCAGAGTATCCGGCTTGGTTCGAACCCTTCGTGATGCAGTGGCTCAATGAAAACGACGACGTTTCTTTAGAATATCTCAATGGAGCATTCAACAGGGATAAGAAAGATGGGGTGAGTTAAAATTAAGCTTTAATTCAGGGAAAATAATTTATTCGATTCTCTGATACAACAAAATCCATTATTCGTTGAAAACTAAATTTCTTATTACGGAAAAAATGCGTTTAAACTACAATTGATATCAGATTCTCTCTAAATGTATCAAATTTTAAGCTAATAATTTCCATTTAAGCACTACCACTAAAAAATATAATTATATTCCAGTTCCAACAATCAAGTGAACACGCTCTATTCAGTTGCTCAGTTGTGGATGTGTTCACCCAACTAACGCAATGCTTTGACGTTGTCTCCAAACTCGAGTGCCCAGACCCCGAGATCTGGAAGCGATACATGAAGAGGTTTGCAAAGACCATCGTCAAAGTCCTTGTAGCTTACGCTGACATCGTCAAGAAGGAATTCCCTGAACACCTGAAGGAGGAACGAGTGGTATGTTGAATTTATTTTAGAACTATTAGGAATAAAAACGATATTATTTATTTGTAAAGTAATCTTATCATTCATAGTTGTGCCATTATCATTATGTATTTTGAGGGCTTTACAAGAGAAAAATACCCAAGCAAATACCCAAATTACAAGTTCGTAAGAATAGCTTCAATACAATCTAAAGGCAAAGCTCATACATAATAAATAACACACATAAATCAATAAGAATGATATACTTACAGGCGTGTATCTTGATGAACAACATCCAACAACTGAGGGTACAACTGGAGAAGATGTTCGAATCTATGGGCGGCCCCAAGTTGGAGCGAGACGCTGCTGATATCTTGAAGGATCTGCAGAATAGGCTGAATGGGACGTTAGATGATCTGGCGTCGATGTTTGCTAACAGGTATAGTTTTAATTAGCACATTTGTCTTGAACTCGTAAAACCTAGCTTAAAAGGCCCGAAATGAGATGGATGTCGTAACTTGGCCTTAACTGACAATATCCTAGTCTCTTATCCATTAAGATCTATTGACATACCACATATTGTTTTATAAAATGGACGCCGGGAAACGTGTTGCCAAACACGCTGAGTATTACGTCTTGCGTGATGCAAATATTGCCTAGTAGTGTGTATATGAGACATTACGTATTTTATAAAATTATGTAATTCTGAATAAAATATTTTTAAATTCTAGCTTGGAGTCGCGAATCACAGCCAGTGTGAAGGAACTAGGAGAATTGCTGCAGAAAGTTGGAGGTGGTGCAGCACCTGGTCAACAACAGCCTCCGGTACACCACGAGGCTGATGAAGTGCTAAGACCACTTATGGATATTCTGGTGAGGAAATTAGACTTATATGTCAATTATGAACATGTACGCGAATACTTTGACCATTTGTAACTAATGCAATCTTGCCTACTTTATACATATCTCTTAGAAAATACAACCCTGAATTTAAGATTTTTCAACGAGTTTCACTATATTTCTCTAAGTTTATTTTGAGAAAACAGGTTTATAATTCATAGCTGACTGATACTTATATTTGTTTGCAGGATGGTTCTCTCACAATGTACGCGGAATCCTGTGAAAAGACTGTTCTTAAACGATTACTAAAGGAATTGTGGAAGATTGTGATGAAGATATTAGAAAAGACTGTTGTGCTCCCGCCTATGACTGATAAGACGGTAAAATATTTATATTATTTGAATTAAAACTTGTGCAGCAATTGAAAGAATACTTAAACTAATTCCATATCCATATAACAATACAAAATGAACAATATAGACATAAAAAAAATTCGACAAGGGATAATAGAAGGGTAATAATACAAAAATACTTTTCTGTCTTGATACAGATGATGTTGAAGAACCTGACGAACAACGCAAAGAACTTGGCAGCGAATGCGAAGATCGAAGACATGACCCAGTTGTTCAAGAGCACTGTGGGTAAACAGGATGTCAAGCATGCACTCTCTGGCGTCATGGACATATCTAAAGAGGTAAGCACGATAAGGACGATATATTTTGGTGATATTGTTTTTAATGAGGAAATATTTGTAATAAGACGTTATTATTGGTATCTACTAACATAGCAATATTTATTTATTTATTATAGAATTCCCAACAATGAGTACATTATACTTTATAAGTTGTACATTTCAAACTTAATTCTAAGTGATCCATTACTTATAGAAAAGCACAGCAGGCACAATAATATAATGCGCGGGTGTTAAATATAATCAATCAATTTTAAGCCAAAAGAAAAGTTAAATTAAAGCTAAATTGACAAAGTATTAAATCTAAATTACATAACACACAACAACAATTTTGATACAGATATAACAATAAATATGATATTTAACTACCCTGTGGCAAAACAATATACCTACCCATTCTTTTATCTGGTGGAGTTAAGACGAGTCTACATAATAAATGATTTTCATAGCATTACAAAAAAGCTCAAAAGCCTTAAAGCATTAAGCCAAGCTACAAGCATTGAAAATCCCAAAATTAAACATATGCATTTTTCCCGTAGCATCTGTCAGCTGAGAAGAGCTTGACACCGAAACAGTGTGGAGTACTGGACGCTGCATTGGACACCATCAAGCTATACTTCCACGCAGGAGGCAATGGACTCAAGAAAGCCTTCTTAGAGAAGAGTCCAGAACTGCAGTCCTTGAGATATGCTCTCAGCTTGTACACACAAACTACTGATACGTTGATCAGGACATTTGTTAGCTGTCAGCAGAACCAAGGTAATAGAATATATAATTAATTTAATAGATAAATTGTTTTACTTGGTGTTAATCTCTTTCTATTTTAGCATTGTAGAGATGAAAATTCTCAAATATAATCTTTCTTCTTTTCATGTTATCCTTGGTTATTTATTTGGGATCAACTTAATGTGTACTATGTCTATTTTTTGTTCGTTTTCCCCTATCTATCTTTATTTGCCTGTAAACCAATGTTCTGCTACATTTTAATGTTCTGATTTCTTGAGACGCTGCAGTCGTGGAAGAGGGAAGCGTGGGTGAAGTGTCACTGCAAGTGGACCTGTTCACGCATCCTAACACTGGCGAACATAAGATCACGGTGAAAGGTAAAGGATTTAGTAGTTTTACGATTATATTAAAACAATTTGAACGTTTGATGCAGTGACGGGACTGAGTCGCTGGTTCCATTTTCAACTTTCGGAACTACTTTTTGTGTGATCCACATAAGTGTCGTTCCGGATCTAAGTGTGATGTGTATTTGAATTTGTATATTCATAACGACGAATTCATTCCTTTATTCCTTCCTTATATACGATTTGTTAGTAGACAATCGATTTAACCAAGCTTTACATCGTGTACATAGTTCAACTGCTCATTATTTTATGATATGACTTACAGTGGTAGCAGCAAATGATCTGAAGTGGGTGATCCAAAGCGGTATGTTCCGTCCGTTCATCGAGGTTAATCTAATCGGTCCACACCTCGCGGAGAAGAAGAGGAAATTCGCCACCAAGTCCAAGAGCAACAACTGGAGTCCCAAGTTTAATGAGACGTTCCATTTGTAAGTGCCAGATAATTTTAAAAACTCGGTCTAACAATTAAGAGCACTTACTTCTTTCACCTAGTACTCAAAAGGTATTTATCGTAACTTGGTCTTTCCATAATTTCCAGCATGGTGAGCAACACGGAACAGCTGGATCTGTTCGAGCTGCACGTGTGTGTTCGTGACTATTGCTTCGCACGCGAAGACAGGCTGGTCGGCGTTGCTATAATGCGCATGACCGAAATTGTTGAACAGGTAATGGACCTTCAACTTTTTTGGCACATTGAAATCATTGAAATATTTTTCTGACATTATTTTCTGTATCATACCTATAATACCCTTTAGAAGAAAGGTTATTTACTGTTATATTATCAATTTTCAGGGGGCCATCGCGTGCTGGTTGCCTCTAGGCACCCGAATCAAAATGGACGAGACTGGCTGGACGATACTAAGAATACTTTCTCAAAGGCACAATGATGAAGTCGCTCGGGAGTTCGTCAAGCTCAAGTCAGAAATGAGGACCGAGGCACCTGCTGGTGCGCCGGGCCCAGCGTGAACCACTTAAGCAAAACCCCACGTGCCACAACATTCTACACAACCTACCAACTCCAAGACTGCGACTGGACTGATAGATCCGGTTGTGATGTCCCTTAGTATTTCAAAACAGTTTAATGTGCGCAAACGAGACAGAATTAAGTTCTGTACGATGCGTAAGAAAGAGACGAAGCCACTGCAACGGAGTTTGGAAGTGACATCGGCGCTCTGGCGGCTCCCGGTCAGTGCTCGTTCGTTTTGTTTCGTACAATCTCGACGGAGATGTGTTTTGTAAATAAAATTTATCTTTGTTAAGTTACGCGGATAGTAGAATATTTTGCACAAATTCGTAAACATTAGCCGAAAAGACTGACCGTAGGCGGCCGGGCGCCGCGGCGGACGCGACTTAGGCATCCAGCTACATATCCTATCCAAGAGACACTTTTAACTTCCATTGTATGACATTTACAAAGCCCTTAGCGCTCCATAATTTTATTAACTTCGCTCTTTTAATTCTTTATTGCTCAGTCGCGAAGTGTTCTATCTTAAATCAATCAGCCCGACTTCTTTCGCTGGGTACCTAAATTCGCGAACGCATCGTTGACCCACGATTTATGTAATAATATTTATATGGACCAAACTGTCGTAAATACGGATGAATTAATCCTTAAACATTAATATTAAAAATGCAACATAATTATTTATCTAATTAATCATCTACTCGTTATACGTGTACAGTAAGATATATGGCCTTATGTAAATTATTTCCTTTTATTGGTTTCAATGCTTATGTCGAGTCGGTAATGTGTAAAAGTGTTGAGGATATTTCCTGAGTGCTAAGAGGTATGCGTTTATATTTTCCTTTCAGTAAATGCGTGGTGTATAGAATAATGCGAAATTTATTAAGCATGTTCGTTTAGGTGATGAGTGTTATATAAAATGGAATTAATAATAATAGTCATAGCCGTCGTTCGTTCTTGGAATCCTTTACGCGATGCTTTTTGACGTCTGTACTTAAATATAGAATTAGATATAAAGTTATCTTGAAGCATATATCTTTATTCAAACGCAACGTTTAATACTAATGGCTTCCGCGATAAATATAGTCAATCTACAGAGGAAATCGTGTGTTTTGATTTACATTGTACGTCATATAAATCTGTCAAAATAATATTGGTGTTAAAGTATTTGTATTCTATGAATGTTATAGACTTGTCCGTTAAATATAATTAATAAATGTTGCCTCAAAAAGTATCGCGTAACAAAATGGATAGAAAAAATTTGCGGTATATTGTCATCTTTAAAAAAACTAATATAACATTATTTTACGTGTCCCGTTTTGAGTGACCCATTATTATATGTATGTGATCCATTATATAAACAGATATGTATGTACATAACAATAAGTATATGTTAAATGTGTATATCACAGTATTTGCTATTAATTTAATAAGCTTGGCCTGTTTGAAGTATAATCTATAATCTCCAATATCTTTTTGTATATTATTGAAAATTGTGATATTGTTATAAAGATGACGTAACATCATAATTGTCGTGTCTATCTGTTTAATCAATCCGATGTTATATTGTTAATAATAATAAATTTTATGTTACACGCAGAAATATAACAGCGGTTAACATAACATACCGTACTTGTTATAAATAGAGAATTTTATTTATGTTAATCATACAATTATTTATTTATTATTTTGTTGTTTATAATGAAAGTAAATACCTTCCATGTTAAGGCCCTAGTGCTCAAAAATAATTTGTTAAGGCTATATTACGGCGAATAACAATAACGGCTCGTTGATTTATTAACATAATAATTATTATAAAAATATAATAATAATAATAAAAAATATCACAGTCCAAAACTCAAAACACGTTTGAAAGTCGTCACATAAATAATAACATTTTAATAATGTGTACATTTTCAATAGCATTAATTTAAATAATAATACTATTATTATAATGATTCTATTAAGTGCACCTCTGATAACTTTATTTTCTTATTCCATTCCTAAAACTTTTATAAATAACGGATTTTCCTTTTTGTAACCTCTATTTTCGACAGTTGTATAGTTTATAATGGGATTTTCTGAAATTTTTAATGTCCTCTAAGAGTTCTACCTGTAATAGATATTTGATGAAGTTGAAAATGCACACGGTGTGTAGGTAGGCACATCACTAAGCAACACGGGACATAGATTTTCTAAATCTTAGCATTTATCATGGATTACATATCTGTAGATAGAGAATGTGGTTTGTCTAGTCCAAATCTCAATAATATATATTAATTATAATTATATATTTACTCGTCTTATTAAAATATATAGAAAATACTTTTATTTCTAATTAAAGTTTCCGAGTTGACTGAATCTGAATAACTATAGCGTAATAGAAAACAACAATAATTATTACAAAATTTTTATTTTGTTATTTACTATCACAAAATATAAATGTAACTAGTAATCTATTCAATGTATTAATGTGCGCAATAATATTTGAAATAATTCAATTGAATTAGATACATAACATTCTTTGTCCACGATACAATAGAAATAAACAAGTTTTTTGTGCATTACTGCGTTGAATAGAGCTTTTCCAACTATATATTTTGGAAAAAATTACAGCGATGCCCACAAAAATAAACTATCGATTATGTTATTTCCAATATCAATTCCATTATAACAGAATCATTATTTGTCATACATTTGTAAATAGTTGCAACTCGAACGTAAAGGGAAGCTACTATATTGATGGGATCGTGTGATATCTACATAAACCAAAATATATCAGTATTACTTTTCATGTAATTAAAAAAAGATAATATTATTATAATAATGATAATAAAAAAAATCTGTAATCAGTAACAGTTTATGAAGATATGACGATTCGAGCTAGTATAAAAGAAAAGCGCACAGTATTCATTATATTCTCATCAAATATTATAACTAACAATTCGTATTGACACAATAAACCTTTATAACATTACATTTGACAATACTTGGTAAATATTATTTTGTAAGTGTAATAATTATGTGATTGTCACGTGCATCGCCATCGGAAGTCTGTTACGCTCCAATTTTAGTATTAAAATATCACTAACATTGCATACATCTTTGTATAAATGCATATATGTAAATGTTACATGTTTAAACACATTATTGAATTTAGAATTTTTATGAAAAAATAAATAAATATCCGTATTTCAAATAAATTTTGTTTTTTTTTTTCATTATTGTTGCTGGTCGCTTGCTTATGTAATTTTTTCTTTTATTAATGGTTCAGAGGATTTATTTACGATTGCGCTACACATAAATCAGTTTTCAGAAATGTAGAAATGACACAGATTCCAATGAAAATAAAATGATAAAATTTGTGAACGCTACTTCGGTGATAACGAAAGCTTTACGTGTTTTTTCAAACATTTAAATCAAGTTTAGAATAGTCTGTTTTTTATGGTATAAGTCGGTAAACGAGCAGAAGGATTACCTGATGGTAAGCAATCAGCGCCGCCCATGGATACCCGCAACACCAAAAGAGTTAAGAGTGCGTTGCCGGCCTTTTGGGGATAGGGGTTGCGGATATAAGGATCGGAGAAAGGACCTCACTCACACGGCGAAACGTTGTGGTGTTGCTAAAAACCTGTTCTTTAAATCAACTATAGAATCACCTGTTGCTAAGAACCTTTTCTAAATACAACTCATCTTTTTCACAGGATGGAATAAAGCTTTCAACTCATTTCACGATTTAAAGTCCAGTGGTTCGTAGGATGGCAAAAACTAAACAGCGAAATCGATTACTGAACTTTACATGCGTTTTTAAACTTTAAATTCAAGCATCAGGACATGCATAAGGATGCATGGATAGTCTCCTTATTCAAAACTAAGAACTATAGAAATTTCTCTAACAAAAAATTGAATTGTAAAATAATATGATCGTTCTTAAAAAAATGTTTTGAAGTAAATTGCAATAAACACTTCTAAATGACTCAAACGGTCATAATAATAATATTTTTATTTATTGAGAAAATTTCCTTCTCATTTGCCGGACTTACTTATAATAGATTCACTAGAATAGAACTCGGATAAATATTTGGTTTAAATTAAGATGGCGGTATTATTGCATCAATGGATGCGTGGGCGACTGTTTGCTTTCTGAGGAAACTTTACAAAATTATAAAGATAATAATCATTCATCATCTCGCCTTCTGTCCTTGTACAAATTGTATGACGTAAGTGTAAATGTAAATTTTTCCTCCCTTTTATTATTATTTATTTTATCTCATAGGTCGACAAACAAGCAGACAGATTACCTGATGGTAAGCAATCAGCGCCGCCTTAGGACACTCTTAGAACCAAAGGAGTTAGTAAAATTGCGTTGTCAAACTCACTGACATAGCTAAACACAATGTAGGTCTGTGTTACTTCACGCCGGTTTTCTGTGAAGCCGTAGTGTCACTCCGGTCGAGTCAACCCATTCGTGCCAAAGCAGGGCTCTCCCACACCATAAATATTATTCTACTAAAAAAAACTTCCGGGAACTCAATATTTACTTTAAACTTACACAATTGTATAGCTATAGTACAGCTATATAGGTACAGTGTATGTAGATTTTCCAGCAATCTCTCGCGCAAATTCCAAATTATATGGTGGTTCCAGGACACTAGAATAAAATTGGTGTGGAATTTTAAAACAAAATATTTCTGTAATAAATAAGGTAAGAAACCCACAATTTAACGACACTATATCCGGAACCTATATTGAACACAAAGAGCAGAAAAAAGAATAAAAAACAGGATACTGCGACAACCAATCTGCCAACATATCAATGTGACGCAGCGTAACGCGTTTTAGCAAAAACAAAGCTAAAAATATACCAAATCTCAATGAATCGAATTCAGTAAATACTTTAACGATAATAATATATGTTATCAAAGAAATATGAATCATATATCCAAATCTCATCTTGATACAAGATGTAGCAACTGACTCATTTGGTTTTATCTTAAGATAGAGATCACCTGTCTACTATCCTAACGTATCTTCTTATCTTCCTTTTGAATAACATTTTGATGATGATGACAATAAAAAGGATTTTTAAATTGAAAGTTTCAGTGCCGAAAACTAGAGAGAAATATTTTTAGGTAATCTAGACTATGTTTGAATTAAATTGATGAAAGTATCGTGAGAATATAATTGCTTACAAGTTTCCTACGTAAAAGGACAGCTAAGCAGCATGTTGTCTATGGTCTTATGTCTTCAGGACTGGTATGATAATGACTAGCTTCGCCTGCGCCCTCGCCCGCGTGGTATGTTAATAAAAATATAGATATAAATGTAACTACTTTTTTATTCAGCATAAAAGCTTATTATACGATATAAATTTGTTACCAAAATAAACATGTAGACGTCGTGATGGCCCGGAGGTAAACGAGCCCGCTTCTCATGCATGAGGGTGTGGATTCGAAACCTGGCAAGTACCAATGTGACTTTTTCCGAGTTATACGAACTTTCTATGATTATTTAGACACCACTGACATACGGTGAAGAAACCTGGACTTATAATTTCTAATTATATTTCACATTGCATCGAGGCTTATAATGTAAAGGCCGATAGATTAAGTCTTGATAAACAGTTGCGATCTTATGATGCTTCCATAATGCTAGGTATGAACATAGGAACCTGACCACATAATAGGAACTCAAAGTAAATATTACTTACTATTTTTCGAAAAAGTAATAATGATTAAAATCTCTTTGCCTGCAGAGTGGGTGCGTTATGTGTCATTCATTCAATATAGACTAGGTATATATACATATACATGCACTGTGTACAGTACATCCCTTTGGCGTAAAGCCTTTGTCCGTCCACTTCCGAAAGTCTCTTCTCCCACTCTTCCTAGTCAATTCCGTCCGATATCCATACTTCCTTTCCTGTCCAAGGTGCTTGAGGCCTGTGTCCACAAACAACTTTCTACTTTCATTTACAGGAATTCACTAGTCAGTCCATTCCAATCGGGCTTCAGACCGGGCCACAGCACTGTTTCCGCCCTCCTTAAAGTGACTGGCGATATTAGAGCTGGCCTTGAGGACACTAAACGCCACAGTCCTGGTTTTGGTAGACTTCTCGAATGCCTTCAATATGGTCAGTCACGATATCCTATTAGCCATCCTATCCCATCTTGCGATCTCTGGCGAGTCACTGGAATGGTTCTCCTCTTATCTTCAGGAGCGCCAGCAGTCGGTCAAGCATGGTGATATGTCATCAGGTTGGCGCGAATTAAAAGCTGGCGTTCCTCAAGGCGGCATACTATCACCTCTCTTGTTCTCCATTTTTATCAATCTTATCACTTCTGACCTTCGCTGTGCGTACCATCTGTATGCAGACGACTTGCAGCTATACTGTCAGGCTGGCTTAGACAGCTTGCCCAA